TATGGCTAGGCCTGCAGAACAGAAGCTGATGCACTTTACCAACCAGCCATAGGCACAGAGTCTGCAGGACTGCACCCCTGTACCTAGTTGCAAGTGAAACGGAGATAGCAAGGAGGATGCCCCACCCTCTAGGAATGGTGGTGACGGTCCCTGCCCCAGGTGTGTTGCTTGCCATGTGGAGAAAACATGGCTAAGAACAAAGACAGAAAAGGGGCAAAAGAGCAAGAGATCCCACAGATAAAGCCAGAGTGGGACATAAGCAGGAACCTCGGGCAAAGAGATTTCACCCAGTAGTAAACAGGGTCCGAAGAATGTCAGTCTATTACCAATCCTAATAACTACTAGCCTTCTTCGCGGTGGCTCACGCCTATAATTCCAGCACTTTTGGAAGGCCAAGGTGTGCAGATCACTTGAGATCAGGAGTTCAAGACCAGTCTGGCCAACATGGCGAAACCCCATTTCTACTAAAAATATAAAAATTAGCCGGGCGTGGGGGCAGGCGCCTGTAATCCCAGCTACTCAGGAGGCCAAGTCACGAGAATTGCTCGAACCTGAGAGATGGAGGTTTCAGTGAACCGAGATCATGCCACTGAACTCCAGCCTGGCCGACAGAGTGAGACTCAGTATCAAAACAAAAACAAACAAAAAATGCATTGAATATATCAAAATTTATAGGTTCCTATTGATCCCATCCCCCACTTCCCCACACACAAATTCTCATTGGGCCACCATTCAAAGTATTTAGTGAACAAATTCCCTGTTCTGAAATTGAAAGGAAAGAATTAGCATTCATTCATTCTGCCCTTCTTGTAAAAGATGTATTTCAGAGTAACAAAGCAGCACTAGTTGACGAAAGAGAATTCTCCTTTACAAAATCATTTTTAGCTAATAAATAGAGAAGATATTAATAGGATTAGAAAAACATTATCGCTTTACAACCCCTAATGAAATTTTGATTCAGACAGTGATCAATAAATAAAATCATTAGATTAAAGATTGATGAGAACCCTTACAATAGCGGAATGAGGCTGTCATCACCTGAATCCACCCAAAGTAGGACAACTAGACATGATGTGATAGGAAGCACTGTGCCACCTGTGAATTGTTCCTGCCCCCAGCCCCACTACAAAGCTAACCTTGACTGAAATCAAGCATCTAGCATTAACTTCCATTCAGAGAAATGTGGGAGACAGAGGAACATGCTACAGAGCAAATGACACAGTGTCAGCAATAGAGCACAAGGGGAAGGATGAGAACCCGCCACAGGTAAGAGGAGATTTAACAGACTTAACACAGATGTAGTATGTGAACTTTGTTGGGATTCTGACTTAAGCAAGCCAACTTAAAAAAAAATTTTTGAGGCCGGGCACAGTGGCTCACACCTGTAATCCCAGCACTTTGGGAGGCCAAAGCAGGCAGATCACTTGAGCTCAGGAGTTCAAGACTAGCCTGGTCAACATGGCGAAACCCTGTCTCTACTAAAAATAGAAAAATTAGCTAGGTGTGGTGGCGCATGCCTGTAACCCCAGATACTCAGGAGGCTGAGACAGGAGAATTGCTTGAACCCGGGAGACAGTGAGCCAAGTTGCAGTAAGCCGAAGTCACGCCACTGCACTCCTGCCTGGGTGACAAAGTGAGACCCTGTCTCAAAAAATTAAAAATAAAATAAAATGAAAAAATCATTTTTGAGACAATTGGGGAAATTATGGACTAGGAAGTAGTGGCTATCAGGTAAGAAGAGTTGCTGCTGCCACCAGTGAATTGATGATGTGGAGGTTATGAAAGAAAGTGATCATATTTTTTGGAGGTGTATACTGAAGTATGTAGGAGTGAAATGACATGCAGACTGGTGTTTGCTTGAAAACACTCCCCCTAAGAAGAGAAGGATAGCTGAAGGAAACATGGGAAACTCTTGATGGTTGTTGGATCTGAGTGGTGAATAGATGGGTGTTCCAACCTCTCTACTCTAGAATATGTATGAAATTTTCACTAAGAATATTTTCAGAAATCTCCTATCTGGCCTAAGGCAAAAACATAATTGTGGAGCAGCCTAAATATTCCTCTCTGCAATGAGTATTTATTAAGCAACTGTGTGCTAGGCAAGGAGAGACTGTGCCATGGCAAGATCTAAGCTTTGCCGTCAGAAGCCTTGATTTGAGCCAATTCACTGTTGCCATCAGTTTGATCCTGGGCAAGTTGCTATTTCTCTTTGAACTTTCGTTTCCCTGTCTGTATATGATCTGCTCCACAAACTGGTAGAGACAGTAATATCTCTTTGCTTTCTAAACTGCTCACTTAACTCCCACAGGCCTTACTAGCAAGAGGTCTAGCATCCCCTGTTGGAGGACCTTCCCCCTATCTTCTTCACTGTCTGGGAATCTGGGTCTCCTCAGCCCGCAGGTAGGCAGGCCTGGCCCTGGTACCAGAAGTGCCCTCCCTCTCATGGCCACACAGTGTCAACTTTGGAGTTTTGTCCTGCCTAGCTACTCTGTCACGGGACAGCCTTGCTGATTCCCAGCATGGCCTTGGGTGAGGGGTGAGGGGATGGCTGGAACCCTAGAATTAAATCTCTCTTAGTTCACAGTCTCTTTCTCTGCAATGACTCATAAAGAGACAGGACATCATGACTGATCCTCAGCCTCATAAATTGCAGGACAAGCTCTTTCTATCCAACAAAATACTAACCTCACTGTGGCAGGTGCTGCCTTAGGGGCTTGAGATACATCCATGGGCAAAAAGGACCCCTACTCCCCTCAAGGAGCTGGGGAGTGGGGATCTGCCCCAAACCCGAGCCCAGGCCACCAGCAGTCTTCCCCTCTCCCCCTGGTGAGTATTGCTTTGGAAGGTAGGGGTGCTCTAACCACACGGTGTGAACCTAACGTACTTCTCCCCAAGCATCACCAGTGAGCATGTTAGATGAGCGATGGGTGGTGGGGCCAGTGCGGGGGTGCTGGGTGTTACTAGGCTACACACACACACACACAACCCCACACACCCTTTATGTAGTAAAGTAGGGCTTACTACTCTATCCTTGTATAACTTAGTGCAGACTGAGAAACCTTTATATCTGTCACCTCTTAAAATGAAGACTCTTACCCATCTTACAGAATCATTATGAGGATTAAATCAGATTTCTTCACTGGGCTGTGCTCATAAAGGTTGTGTTTTGCTCACTGCTCTACTTTTTTTTTTTTCACTCTACCCTGTGAAATATATTCTCAGTCCCTAAAACAGTCCCTGAGGCATAGTAGTGTCCAGTATGTGCACACACACACACACACTCACACTCACATGCACACACAGTGATGGAATGAGCCTGCGAAGAGGGTCGTCTCAGGAAACATTAGCTCTGCGGATTCTCAGTCGGTCTAGGGTGGGTCTGAGACTGCATTTTCCCCGGCTCCTGAGGGTGGATCCTGTCCAGGAGGACACTGAAAATGATGAGGCCGAGAGGTGCATGTTGAGTGGCAGGAGAGTGGAACCATTAGGCACTTAGCGTCTGGAGTCTGTCAGATACGTCCCCACCATTCTTACCTTTGTGGCCTTGGGTGGGTTACATAACCCCAGTGAAATTGAATTTCCTCACCTCTAATATGGCAATAACCACTAGGACTGCCTGGTGAATAGTATTGACCCAATCAGCTTGATATTTTAGCTCTCTGTCCAGTAAAATAAAAACCCACACACTGACCACTTTTGTATTGCCTTCAGAATGCCATAGCCCTCTGAAGTAAAATCACTGGATCGAAACAAAGATCCTTGCTTTAAGAGTTTTAACCTTCACATTTGCCCTGTATAGCTCTGATTTTGTTTTTTTGTTTTTTACTATTTTACAATAATGTTTTCATGCTTTAGTTGGATAAAAACAAATATATATTATATATATGTGTGTATATATATGTGTATATGTGTATATATATATTTATATATGTGTATATATATATAATTGCAGTAGAAAATTAAGCCTGACCATTGCTTGAAGTCTTTGTGGAGGGCATCTAGCACAGCTTGATAAAACCCGTGGCCCCCTCAAAGCATTAACTGAGCATCAAGTGCTGAGTGTGCTGCTGGGCACAATGCCCAGCACAGTAAGAGCTTGGGGACTGCTGCATATTCATGTGTGTGCCTCTTCCTCTTGTTCACTGCTGTTTCTGGCACCCCATGCTGTGCTTACAATATGGTAGGAGCTCAATAAATATTTGATGAATATACAAATGATTAGTTATTTTAGCCTCAGATGAACACTCACAGGAGGTCAGGTGGAGGAGTAAGGGCTGATGGAGGAGTGAGGCTTTGACCAGCTGTAGTTGGCCTCAGGAGCAGAGAGACCCAGGGCGGCGGGGGGCTCGCAGCACTCAGGGTAGATGCCTTCAGTTACCAAATCAAACCCTAGACAAATGCTGAGGGAGTGAGTTAAGCCAAGGCACAGAGCAAGGGTGTTGTCATAGAAACACATTCAGGTCTTTTACATAGTATTCTGTGATGGTGCTCATTGGGGGTTCCAGAGCAAATAAAAGGATGAACTTCATGGTACGTGCCCAAAGAGAGGATACGCCGAGCACTGTGCTTAGCAGAGCACCAGGCAGGAGTGGGGAGGAAGGAAAGCTTTTGGCTTATTCCCTGACATCTCAGCAGTTGTAAAGGGCTGCTGTGGGCAGCTCCTCTGACCAGGGGTTGCCCCAGGAAAATAGTAGAAGTCAACATGCCCTGGGGAAGTTCTCTCCTGTATCCTCCTGATGACAACTGCAAAGGAGGGAGGGAGGACCCAGACATTCCATTTCTCCTCGTTTGTCAGTTCTGGTTGGGACTTCATAAAGTCCAAGGATATTCTTGGAGTGGGAAAAAATGCTGCAGGATTGGTGCAGGGAGCTGACTGATGCTGATATTACAAATCCATGATGTGACTAAAAGTCATGTGAAAAGATTGATCATCAAGAAGTTGCAGAAGGAAAAGTCTCCAGCCCAGCTAAATGTTCCCATCCCACTTTCTCTCTCTTCAGGTGACCTTGTACAAGGACTCTGACATGGAGGACTTTGGGTTCAGTGTAGCAGATGGCTTGCTGGAGAAAGGAGTGTATGTCAAAAATATTCGCCCAGCTGGGCCAGGAGATCTTGGTGGCTTAAAGCCATATGACAGGCTCTTACAGGTAAGACCTCAGGTGGAATTTTAATTCCTTGCAAGCAATTTGTCACTGGGAGCTTCCTCTACATCCTTCTGCATATTTGGGGCCCTTTGCTCTTTTCCCTTTCAGCCTTTGTCATCAAGATTATGGAATCAGTAGAAGCAAACAGCTGTATAAAGAATTTTCAGCACTGGTAAATTCTAACCCAGCCCCCAAAGTTCTGTGGTTTCTTATCAGTTTTTTTCAGCACTGAGCTCAGAGCCATCTTTCCCAGTCTCACGCTCATTTCTCAGACTCCACCCAACCACTGGTCACCTCCCACCATCACACAGTAGTCCCATAAATATGACATAGTTGTCCGATTCCAGGCACCACCAGTCTAGTCCTTCCTACCACTCGTCTTCTACATGACCTACAAGGCCCCAGGGATTTGGCCTCTCCTTATCTTGCCAGCATCTTGTCTTACCTCTTCATTCATTCATTCATTCGTTCATTCATTTATGAGACAGAGTCTCGCTCTGTCACTGGAGTGGAGTGGTGTGATCTCAGTTCACTGCAACCACCACCTCCCAGGTTCAAGACATTCTCCTGCCTCAGCCTCCCAAGTAGCTGGGATTACAGGTGCCTTCCACCACACCCAGCAAGAATGCAATTTGCTAACTAATTGGAGGGTTGGTGACAGACCTTTTGAAGTTGATGGAAAGTTACAATTTTTTTTCCTTTTTTTTGTTTGAGACAGAGTCTCACTCTGTCTCTCAGGCTGGAGTGCAGTGGCACAATCTCAGCTCACTGCAACCTCCACCTCCTGCATTCAAGTGATTCTCCTGCCTCAGCCTCCCAAGTAGCTAGGATTACAGGTGCATGCCACCATGCATGGCTAATTTTTGTATTTTTAGTAGAGACCATGTTTCACCAGGTTGGCCAGGCTGGTCTCGCACTCCTGACCTCAAGTGATCCGCCCCCCCTCGGCCTCCCAAAGTGCTGGGATTATAGATGTGAGCCACTGTGCCCAACCTCTTCGTTTACTCTCTAGCTTCAGCTGGATTTGTTTCAGGAATGGTGTGTGCTGCCACCTCCTGGCCTTTGCACCTGCTGTGCCCTGAGCTTGTGGCACTTCTCTGCTAAACATGCACAGGCTCTTTCCCTGCTCCTTCCTTGACTTCAGGTCCCTGCTCACATGCTGCCACTTAAACCACTCTGTTTAAAAGGGCCCTTCCTGCCTCTCCATTCTTCACAGTGCTTCCTTGGTACGCAGTACAGCCAGAGATGATGCTAGTTATTTGCTTATTCTGTGTTGCCCACTAGAATGTAACTCCATGAAGGCGGCGATTTTACTGTCCGCTCTATTCTCAGTTCCAAGAACAATGCTGTCACATAAAAGTGCTCAGTACTGTGCAGCAGAATAGAAGCGCATTGGCTCTGAGCCTTATATACGCTTCCCTTTTTCTGAATGCTCTTCTAATCCCTAGGCCTTACCTGCTTCACTCCAACTCAACTTTTTGGTCTCACATAGATCAGCGATTCCCATCCTTGACTGAAAAAATGGAATCACCTAGAGAATGTATCCCAATGTTCGGATCAAATGGCAGACCAATTAAACCAGTGACTCTAGGAGAGAGATACAGCATCGGTGTGTTTTTACACCTTCCCCAGTGATTCCAACGAGCAGCCAAATTGACAATCACTCGTTTAGAGGACTTCCCTTCAAAGCCCAACTTCACCAGACACCACCCAACCTCCTTTACTTCACGTCTGGACTAGGGGTCCCTCCTATACAGAATAGCAGCTTTTTCTTTTGGTAGAATTTACATCATTAAAACTGCCTGTTTGGAGGTTGCAGTGAGCTGAGATCACGCCACTGCACTCCAGCCTGTGCGCAGAGTGAGTCTCAAACAAAAACAAAAACAAAACAAAAACACCTTCCTGTTTCCTTGCATATACTCCCCAACAGATTGTAAACTTTTTGAGAACAAGGATAGTACCTTATTCTCTCATTTACTATTATATGGTGTTTGATATCTCAGTATCTCTCACAATATCTGAAACCAAAAAGCTGAAACTTGCTTACTTAATATAGTAACATTGTGGTCAGGTAGAGTTTTATTTAGGAAAGCAGATTTCTGAGCTTATGTGCAGGTTTTGGGAAGGGCATTTTGCAGGAAAATGGAGCAGGTTGAAGTCAGTCTTAGCAGTATACTCACCTGGAAACAGTCTGTCACCAAACAGCTAACTTTCAAAGCAGGAGGCTGCCATGGATTGGTTAGCTTTCAGAGATGTGTTCACTGAAGCATGTTGTCACTGATCAATTTGATAGTTTTGGAACAATTCTGGTAATGATTTTTACTATGGCAATAGAACAATTAGTCTTATCCTAGGAGTTTGGGGACACTTTGTTTTCCATAGACACGCTAATATTTGCTGAATGAGTAACTATGGACAAGTTACTTACCGTCTATATGAGTGTCTTCCTAATCCATAAATTAGAGCTAGGCCTACTCTTATGGAAGCTGAGGCTGTAAAAGTAGACTACATTCAGATTATAAAGGGCCTTGAATGTGATGCTAAAGCTCTTGAACTTTATGCTGAAGGCATATTAATTTCTTAAGCAGGATAATGATATAATTCGTAACATAGAAAGGCAAGACAATATTATTGTGGGTGTATGGGGGAATGGGTTAGGGAAGGGAAGATCACGGGCAAGGAGACCAGGTAGGGGTAGGTAAGATAAGACACCTGTTTCAGAACTAATGAGTCTTTAATATTTTCAGCACATCGTGATAGAGCAGTCTGGGAAGCATTTGGTGGTTTGGATCTGTTGGTGAGGAGAGATGATAGAACCAGAGTTAAAGATTTAGGATACTGAAGTGTGGGGTTTAGGACAAGATGCCCTTGGTGGCTTTATAACAAAGAAGAGAAGAGAACCCAGGATGTATTCTAACAATAACAAAATGTATGTATGTATGTATGTATTTGAGACAGAGATTCTCTCTCGTCACCTAGGCTGGAGTGCAATGGTGCGATCTTGGCTCACTGCAACCTGTGCCTTCTAGGTTCAAGCAATTCTCCTTCCTCAGCCAGCTCCCGAGTAGCTGGGATTACAGGCACCCACCACAATGCCTGGCTAATTTTGTATTTTTAGTAGAGATGGAGTTTCACCATGTTGGGCAGGTCTCAAACTCCTGACCTCAGGGGATCTGCCCGCCTCAGCCTCCCAAAGTACTGGGATTACAGGCGTGAGCCACGGTGCCTAGCCACAATAACCAAATGTAAAGGACAGGAAGAAATAAAGGCAGGAAAGGGCTGAAAGCAAGCAGTTAAAATGGTAAAAGGATCAAAACAAAGTGGGGTTGTAGAACCAAGGAAGGAGAGTTTTAAGGGTGAGGAGCTGTCAGGAGTGGCAAATGCTAAACACCAAGGATGATGCGAACTCCAGAACATTCCTGGATTTGACAAGTGGGGTCATTTGCCAGAAGTGCAGTGTGTCGGGGGGACCTGAAAAAACTGAGGAGAGAATGGGAGGTCAAGGAGTAGAACTGGCATGTGGGTGACTGTAAAAACTTTCATTGGTAAAGAAGGAGAAATGGGTGCATGTATAAGCTGAAGAGGGGATAAGCTCATTAAAAAAAAAAAAAATTCTTATTCTTAGTAGAGACAGGGTCTCATTATGTTGCCCAGGCTGGTCTCAAACTCCTGGCATCAAGCGATCCTCCCATCTTGGTCTTCTCAAGTGCTGCGATGACAGGTGTGAGCCACTGCACCTGGTGGAGCTCACTTGTAAGAGAGGTAGTTCAGCATCATGATTCAGAGCACAGGCTTTGAGATCAGCCAGTTGGCCTGGGATTACATCCTATGACCCTTACCAACTACTGATCTAACGCAAAGCTCTTAACCTCTCTGTGCCTTGCTTTTCTCATCTGTAAATTAGGGATAATATTCAGCCCTTGGAGCACCCCCACTGTGGGCGGGGCCACCTGCTTGGCATGAGGATAGGTAGGATGTGTATGTGTTCCTTGCCCTTGAGAGTCTTAAATGATTTACTAGTAGACAATGGCAAGTGAGCCAGTAGCCATGTCACAGCATAGTCAGAGCAAGGATAGACCTCATGGTGCTCATTTTAGCACCTTCATGACTTCAAACAACTTGTTGCACCTGAAATGTTCCTCTGGGTTTTGGGAATTATGGTTACAATGATAATTCAAAATGGCTCTTCTTGACCTTTCAGGTGAACCATGTCCGAACCAGAGACTTTGACTGCTGCCTTGTTGTGCCCCTCATAGCAGAATCCGGGAATAAGCTGGACCTGGTTATTAGTAGAAACCCACTGGCTTCACAGAAGTCTGTAGAACAACAGAGTCTACCAGGAGATTGGAGTGAACAGAACAGTGCTTTTTTCCAGCAGCCTAGCCACGGTGGTAATTTGGAGACACGAGAACCCACTAATACATTATAGCAACGCTTTTTATAAAGCAGGACAAAAGACAATATCTACATGGTGCTAAAAATCCCTTTAAGATTTCTGTGACATTTGAAGCACAGATAATCACGTGGCATTAACTGCAAGCACAGGGGTCTTTTAAATCTCTCTCATGGCTCATGTTCACTTCCCTTTTCAAGTTGAAGAGGTTTCTTTTTTGGTGACCACTATGGTACATGGTGGGCAATGCCCTGCCAGGCCCAATGGTAGAGAAAAATAGGCCGTCCCCCCAACTCTACAATTAACATCAGAGGAAATTTTTTACAAATTCATCTTACTATCACTTTTTAAAAAGAGAAACATCTGTTTGAAAATATTCTCTATGATGATTTCCTTAATTCACTTTGAAATCAGTTTCTTACTATGAAGTCATTAATGTAAGAACTTGACCAACAAGGCTTTTCTTCTCATAGGCTGGCTCTACTAGGGGAACTCCTGTTTGGTAAACTGCTGGGACTGCCACAATGGGAGGGGTACAGGTATAAAATTAAGTTATCTTAAAATGTTTCAGCAATGATGCACGTAGGAGACCATAATAGGTGGTGGTAAATGTTTTGCCCAAGTATAGGAATGATTTTAACTAAGATGTATGCTATTCCCTATGCAACAAATTATCAAACAGGATATGTCTTGTGACCTGTTTTTTTTTTTAAGGACACATTTTTAATAGCTGAAAATCTCTGATAATGAATTAGAGGGTGTAGTAAACACGAGAATTAGTTATATTATCTTATTTTTAAAATTCAAGACTAAGAACTTAAGAAAGAATGAAGAGTCTATTAAAATGAGGTTCATCTTAATGATAGGCAAACCAAACTCATACTGCTTGACATGTTTTGAAAACTGGTAATATTGAGGGTGTACAGCACATGTACTTAAAAATGACACTGGGCTATCTTTTGTTCTGAGCCATGCCACTTACCGAAATTGTAAATACATTTTTCACAAATGCATTGCCAATTATTACCATCCCTCAAAGCAATAAATTGTGACAGTTGCTTTAAATGTTTGTCAGCAACTGTTTTCATTTGTTCAGATATTTTGAATAGCTACGCTAATAACTGTTATTTGGTGAATATAAAAAACTAGATCTGTATATTGATGGTAGACTCTCCATATTGAAATAATTATTTTCCAAACGTTTTCATTTTGGTCAATAATTCAAACTACCACTTAGGCAAAGCATTCGAACACTGTGTCCTTTGTTTAAGGAAACGAAAATCACCTTTCTTTTTGTGCAAAAAAAAATATTATTTCAATCACATTTCAGAACCGCCAGGGCAAGAAAGTATAAAGCAGAATCATGTTAAGAAAAAAGAAAAAAAGATCATGAGTCACTTAAATATGTATTTTTATTTGTAACAAACAAGTATTAAACTGTAAAGTATTTTTGTACAAATTTAATACTTTAATAGCATGGTATTTATCGTCTATGTATGGTTTTGGGGAATTCAAAATTGTTCAAATATTTGTATGGAAAAAATAAAACCCTCTACCAAATGGAATAAACCGTGATTTTAAAAAGCCAAATAAAGAGGACATGCATTATTGGTGTTTTGAATATATTTCAGTGTTCTAGCCTGAGTCCTACACAATTTGTTTTGTTTTGAGATGGATTTTCACTCTGTTGCCCAGGCTGGAGTGCAGTGGCACAATCTCAGCTCACTGCAACCCCTGCCTCCTGGGCTCAAGTGATTCTCCTACCTCAGCTTCCCAAGTAGCTGGGATTACAGGCGCCCACCACCACACCTGGCTAGTTTTTGTATTTTTAGTAGACATGGGGTTTCACCACATTGGCCAGGCTGGTCTCAAACTCCTGACCTCAAGTGATCCACCTGCCTTGGCCTCCCAAAGTGTTGGGATTACAGGCGTGAGCCACTGCATCTAGCCACAATGTTTATTTTTGTATAATTTTCTAAAGGTGAAAGGTTTTCCTATCAACCTGAGAAGCACCACTAAAGAGTAGGAACCTGGGCGTTGAAATTGAGTCCAGGTTTCATTTCAGGCTCCAGGCTCTTGTATGACATTTACTCACCATGAATCAGTGTCTCTACCTGAAACTGAAGGTCATGTCTGTACCACAGGATCATTCGGAAGACGAGGAGTGAAATATATGAGAATGGGCTAAAAACACACACAGAAATACCTCCAAAACCAATGGTACATTTACTGTAGGTGACAAGTATTGATCAAGTATCACAACATCCACCTCAGAGAAAATTACATGTATTCTATGAGATATATTTACATAAACTTAAAATGTACAAACTTTAATTATGCTACCTTTAAAAATTCACATTCATTTTTATACAGTTGCATTCAGTGTGCCCAGGTTACATTCTGAAAGGTAAAGTATTTTCTAGCACGAGAGTCTTATGACCCAACTGACAATCAATTACTGCAAAAATCTAAGCAACTGTTCAAATTTTTATTGCACTCGCCTCACTTCTGCATCAAGCGTGATGCTGAAGCCAATGAAATGTGTGGTTAGAAGAGACTTTGTGAATAAATGCAAATGAGAAGCTATATTTCATGTGAAAGATATTTCAGTTGTAACCAAAACTAAAATGAATCAACAATAGAAAATAGCTGTTAAAAACAAAAAAGCTCTCATGATTTCAGGTAGCACTTTTCAAATATAGTGACCAGGCCAAAGGGAGAGCTAGGGTCAGCCAGTAAGTTCTGAGCACCCCGAGTCTTCTTAAAAAGGGCAGTGACAAACTTTGAAATGAAAGGGTTTGGGGCTATGCCACCGGAAGACTGGCAGAAGAAACTGGAGATAAGTAGCCAGATGGAGCAGAAGAGACAAGGTCTGAAATATATGAGACTCAGGACTTACGAGCAGAGGTTCCAATGAGGTAGATTTCAGCTTAATATAAGGAAGTAATTTCCAACACTAGTGTTGCAAAGTGGTTTTCACCAAGCAGTAAAGAACTTTAGCATTGGAAATGTGTGTTCTACTGGTGACTGATGGGTGTTCAGCAAATAGTAAGCTGGGGTAGATGACCCTTGCAATTTTAACATGCTGGGATGAAACATTATTTGCTTCCAATTTACATTTTAAAAAGGATACTAGAAGTATCCTCTTTCACTCAAATATTTTTTTTTCATGACCGGTAATGTGCCGGCACCATAACAAGGTTTGAGGGAGGCACATCTCACACGTGCGTGTGAACACCAATGCATCAGGCTTAGGAACTACAAAAGGATCTTAATGAAATCTGAGAGAATTTTGAATCAGGTCAGTTATTTGTATTTTAGCCAATAGTACATTTATAATATAAGAACTACTGCTTTGGAATATTCAGTTACATAGTATTAGTTTCATTGTGTTTTTATGGACAAAAGGTATTTTCAAGTTTTTCGTGACAATGTGAAGCTTTGCCTGAGTCCTATACCCTGAAATATAGCTAGAGTTAAAGAAATTTTATTTCTATAAGGTTGTAGTAACGCCCCTGCCCATCGCCTGCATGTTCCAGGAACTGGCTTATTATAAAGAACCATCCTTCCCCAGGTGACTTAGATAAGACTCACAGGTGTTCATCTCCCTTCCACCGTTTACTTATAACAAAATCAGACACAGACTGCCCTGAAAATTACCATTCTTTGCTTCATAAATGATTAGCTGAATTGCTTGTACTCACTGATCTAGAGAAGATACTAAGCTTCCTTCCCCCAGGCTTTTGAACTTTGACCAACCCTCAATTTAGGCCAGCATACAACACCTCCTTAAGAGGCCCTCCTAAAAGTAATAGGACAAGAGTTAAAATTAATGAAATAGGCAGGGCGCGGTGGCTCAAGCCTGTAATCCCAGCACTTTGGGAGGTCGAGACGGGCGGATCACGAGGTCAGGAGATCAAGACCATCCTGGCTAATGCGGTGAAACCCCATCTCTACTAAAAAAATACAAAAAACTACTGGGCGAGGTGGCGGGCACCTGTCGTCCCAGCTACTCAAGAGGCTGAGGCAGGAGAATGGCGTAAACCCGGGAGGCGGAGCTTGCAGTGAGCTGAGATCCGGCCACTGCACTCCAGCCTGGGCGACAGAGCGAGATTCCATCTCAAAAAAAAAAAAAAAAATTAATGAAATAGAGAATAGAAAGACAGTAAAGAAAATCAATGAAACCATAAGTTGGTCCTTTAACAAGATTAAAATTCATAAACTTTTAGTTAACCAAGAGAAAAAGAGACTCAAATGACTAAAATCAGGAATGAAACAGAGGCTTTACTACCAGCCTTACAGAAATTTAAAAAACCATAAAGGAATACTATGATCAACTGTATGTCAGAAAATTAAAAATCATAGATTAAATGAGCAAATTTCTAGAGAAAAACTGTCAAAACTGACTCAAGAAGAAACAGAAAAGCCAAATACACCTATAACAAGTAAAGAGATTCAATCAGTAGCTTTAAAACTTCACATACCAGGCTCAGTGGCTCACGCCTGTAATCCCAGCATTTTGGGAGGCTGAAGCAGCTGGATCACCTGAGGTTGGGATTCAAGACCAGCCTGACCAACACGAAGAAACCCTGTCTCTATTAAAAATACAAAATTAGCTGGGCATGGTAGTGCATGCACGTAATCCCAGCTACTTGGGAGGCTGAGGCAGAAGAACCGCTTGAACCTAGGAGGTGGAGGTTGCGGTGAGCCGAGATCGTGCCATTGCACTCCAGCCTGGACAACAAGAGCGAAACTCTGTCTCAAAAAACAAAAACAAAACAAAACAAAAACTTCGCACAAAGAAAAGTCCAGGGCCAGATTAATTTAAAGAAGAGTTAATACCAATTCTTCACAAACTCTTCCAAAATAGAAGACAAGGGGACACTTCACAACTCATTCTATGTGGTCACTATTACTCTGATACCAAAACCAAACAAAGTCATCACAAGAAAAATAAACTGTAGACTAATATCTGTCACGAATTTCGATGCAAAAGTCCCCAACAAAAAACCAGCAAGCCAAATCCAGCAGCACATAAAAGGATTGTACACTATGACCAAGTGAGATTTACTCCAGGGATGCGTGATTGATTTAACATCCAAAAATTACCACACTGCATCAATAAAGGACAAAACTACATGATCGTCTCAATACATAGAGAAAGGACTTGAGGAAATTCAATGTCCTTTCACAACAACAACCTAGGAATAAAGGAGAATTTCTTCATCTCAATAAAGGACTTAAAAGAAAGATCTACAGCAAACACAGTTAATGGTGGAAGATTTAATGCTTTCTCCCTAATACGATGAACAAGACAAGGATATTCACTCTTGCCACTTCTATTCAACAATGTACTAGGGGCTGTAACCAGGGTATTTAGCAAAAAAATGAAATTAAAGGCCTACAGATTAAAAAGGAAGAACTAAAAGCATCTCTATTTGCAGATGATATGATCTCTTATACAGAAAATCCTAAGGAATCCACTAAAAACCTACTGTAACTAATAAACAAGTTCAGCAAGGTTGGAAGATACAAGATCAATATATAAAAATCAATTGCATTTCTATGTAGTAGCCGTAATGAACCAAAATAAATTAAGAAAATAGTTCCATTTACAACAGGAAAAAAAAATTAAATATTTTGAAATAAATTTAACAAAAAGCATTGTAAATTTAATTAAAAAATACAAAACTTACACTCTGAAAACTACAAAGAATTAAAGAAGAACCAAGCATGGTGGCTCACACCTGTAATCCCAGACTTTGGGAGGTTGAGGTGGGCAGATTGCCTGAGTCCAGTTCAAGACCAGCCTGGGCACTATGGTGAACCCCTATCTCTGCAAAAAATACAAAAATTAGCCAAGTGCAGTGGTGCAAGCCTGTAGTCCCAGCTACAAGAGTGATTGAGGTGGGGTGGTTGAGGAGGTTGGACTGCTTGAGCCTAAGACGTAGAGGCTGCAGTGAGCAATGATTGCACCACTGCACTCCAATCCAGCCTGTCTTTCCCAAGCAAATGGAAAGACATCTGTGTTCATGAATCACAAGACTTAATACTGTTAAAATGGCAATAGTTCCTGAATCTGTAGGTTTAACACACTCCTCAACAAAATTCCAGTTTGCTTCTTTGCAGAAACTGACAAGCAGATCCTAAAATTCCTACGGAAATGTAGGGACCCATAACAGCCTAAAACAAACTTGAAAAAGAAAACAAAGTTGAAGGACTTACACTTCTTAATTTCAAAACTTTCTACAAAGCTACAGTAATAAAGACAATATGGTGCTGGCATTAGAACAGACACATGGGCCAGGCGCAGTTGCTCCTGCCTGTAATCCCAGCACTTTGGCAGGCCAAGGTAGGTGGATCATCTGAAGTCAGGAGTTTGAGACCAGCCCGGCCAACATGGTGAAACCCCATCTCTACTAAAAATACAAAAAATTAGCCCGGTGTGGTGGAAGGCACCTGTAATCCCTGATACTCGGGAGGCTGAGGCATGAGAATTGCTTGAAACCAGGAGGTGGAGGTTGCAATGAGCTGAGATGGCACCATTGCACTCCAGCCTGGGTGACACAGTAAGACTCCATCTCAAAAAA